GCAAGCATCACATTACAGGCTTCTTTTGATATTAAATATTGAAAGGACTCAAAATGATTTTGCCTGTCCTCCTCCTACACACACCTGCGCACCATCTTTGTGAAAGACAACTACAGGCAATGCAAACATGCCTCAGGAAGCACACACCAGTGTACGTGGCTGAGGAATCAATGCTCAAGCAGCTCCCTTGACAGAAAACCTGCTGCAAATAAGACACTCGCTCACTTCTGAGGAAGCACATTTCTCTCAAAAAGAAGCGATGACATGAAGTTGAACCCTCTCCCGGTATTCCCCCGTGCTATTCCTGCTTGAGACCGCCTCCGATGCAAACAAGTCGTATAACCAGGAGGCAGGGAGCTTGCTGAGAGACCATAGGAGTCACACCTAGTAATGAATTTGCCACACGGCTGCATTTCTGCACGTGAGTGATTTGTAGCTCTCAGTCCACAGAGCTATGATAACTTTTTAATAGGAAAAACAGGCCCTGGGGTTGTAACCAGCAGTTTTGTTATGAGCTGGCGAAGCTACGTGGAGGGGGAAACAAAACAGAAAATTGACTGTGACCACTGAGTATTAAAAAAGCAGGAAAGAGGCAGGCAAACCCCAAACTACTGCACACAGCAATAGTGGCCCTGAAATTTCTGCTCACTCCTTTTGAGCCCTTTTGAGCTTGTGGTGCTTCAAATAGTGAAGTTTAAAGAGTAATTACAAATGAGCAAATAAAGGCTCACCTTCCTTTTGGGTTGGAGCTTTTCCTCACACTAGCTGTGGAGGGGGTGTATCCATAAACTCCTAAAACTCCCGTACCACAAGCAGCAGTCCTAGACCCAGCAACACATTGAGAGTTTACCCACCAGCCCCATGTTCTGCCATTGACACAGTCTGCCCGGCAGAAGAACAGCAAATCTACACTGACCACTGAGTCTTGCCCCCCTCCTTTCCCTTCTTCCATACATTAGCCACAGCCACATTGCTGGCTGTGCTTGGCTGTCTCCAGGGAGCAGCTGACAAACCATCTTACTGGTGCACCGGAGACTTAAAAGTCTCCTGCAAACCTGACCCAACCTTTTTTGCAGCTACGTGCTAAGGGATTTTGTTGCAAAGATCAAGTGATGTCAAGTGCAGAAGCATGAAAGTAAATGATATTTACTTTCAGGATTTGTAAACCTGGATACTTAGGAATTTTAATATTTAACAGCCCATTTACAGCACAAGTACAAAACCCAACACCTTTAGCAACAGATGCTGATCTGTGTTGTCTTGCTAAATAAATTTGACACCTATTTTTCCAGGCGGAAGAGCCTGAACAAAATAACTTTATCACTATGGATCCTGAACTGCTGTCCAGTGATTAGTTTACAAAACCCTCTGCAAGTGCTTCACAGCTGCTCCATTGCCTCCATTGGGTTCTGCACGTAAACAGCACCTCAGGAAGGCTCCATAAAGCCACGGTGCTTCCATCTTGCATCCAAAGCTTAGCATTGCTCTTTTCCTCAATGCACGACCTGAAGTGTAAGGCATATTTGCAAACTCTCAGTACTTAAAAGAACTGTGGGGTCAACAACAGAAATGCTCCAACTGAAGCTGCAAGGCTGATCACCAGTTTGCATGGTGGTGCTAAGCTTAGCAAAGGTAGGACTAATCCCTACAACTTGAAGACATTAACTCCAGAGCTGCAGAAAGGTGATCAGCAAATGCTTTTGTTTATATTGGGATGGGTTCTTATGGCTATCTAAAAGCTGGGTTCTCATCTGAAGTGGCTGACCCAATCACAGAATCATTTGGTTGGACAAGATCTTTGAGATTACCTAGTGCAACCACATCCTGCCCACTACTAAACAATGTCACCAAGCCCCTCATCTACCTGTCTTTTAAATACCTCCAGGGATGGTGACTCCACCACTTCCCTGGGCAGCCCATTCCAATGCCTGATAACCCTTTCAGTGAATAAATTTTTCCTAATATCTAATCTAAACCTCTCCTACTGCAACTTGAGGCCATTTCCTCTTGTCCTATCGCTTGTTACTTGGGAGAAGAGACCGACCCCCACCTCGCTACAACCTCCTTTCAGGTAGCTGTAGAGGGCAGTAAGGTCTCCCCTCAGCCTCCTCTTCTGCAGGCTATTCCCTCCCTTCTATCTGGATACAGCTATGCATTGCTGAGGAGCAATTAATTCCCACCATTTTGGACCTCTGATCTAAGGTGGGAAGAACTGGAGAAACCTGTCAGCCTCCACTGGTGACAAACAGAGCTTGGATAATGACCAGAGACCAGATTCACAACTTGCAGAGGGCTTGTATCCAGCAAGGGAAATCCCATCTTGTGCCTTTTAGCTCACTCAAGGTTCCTAGGCAAGTCAGCATCCAGATTCGAAGGGAAAGTCTTCAATGGGTGAAGGTAAAGGTGCTGGCAATCCTCTTGTTGCCTTGCTGTCTAGCTAGTTGGTTTTGTACTTAGATAATCCTTGCTACACAGTGACCTGGCAAACAAAGTCAGCAGTCCATGGCAATCTTGTTCAAAAAGTACATATATTTAATAATGATAACAAATACAATTTTTTCCCTTGGAATTTCCACTACTGTATTTCAGTAAGTCCCTTCTATGGTCACTGCAGTTTGACTGTACATAGCTACTGTCTAAGCTGGATACATGGTTACGTTTTAGCAGTGTCGTACTCATATATTCTCTATAAATATAATAAAAGATTTAACATTTCTGTTTTCATTCTGATTCTTACACATATTTACTGGATTTTCACAAAAAATACATGTCTCTTTCCTGCCTCTCCCAACCTATTATTGGGTTCCAAATAAACCTGAGTTTGTAATTCAAGTCAGTACCTGCCATCTGTTCAGGTATGCAAGTCCAACGCACGCAAAAGATGGGATTTCAGTGGTCCCTGCTCACTAGCTTTGCAGCGCAAACACGCTCTTAGCATGAAGATAAAGAAAATGTTTTGATGTTTTTAAACAAAAGGAAGAGCTAAAATGGACCCCTGGGATGCACATGTGCTCTGTACAAACAGAAAATGATATTTTTCAATCTGAAAATGAGTAAAATTATTTCGGGGCTGTCCTTCTTATCACATTGGAATTCTTATGTATATTATTTTAAAGGTAGCTTAACTACCCTGGAGGCGAGTGTCCTCACTGTGCTGCAGAGTACAAGACAAATATCGACTCCCTCGTACAGAACTGAAGGGTGGCTTCAGTGCCAAGGTGAAGGTCTCATCTGTAGGGATAAGAAGGGCACTCTGGGCATTTACGCTCTGCTGGTTTTGCCAGAAAGCATTCAAACTACCGAACAGTCCAGTTATCTGTTCTCTCTGTATCTGGTTTAACATCCAGTTTTTTTCTTGCAGATTTTGATGTTAAGACAGAATTGGGAACACATGCTCAGCTCTGGGCTCTGCTGGGAACCTTCTCCCCTGTCTCTGCGGGCCCTCTTCTCCCCATCCGTGTATCTCTCTCATGAAACTGGAAGGAAAGCTTCTCAGACAGGGGAAACTCTCAGCATCTGCACAGACACCAAAGCAATGGGGCTACAAAATAATTTGCAAAAATATTGATGAAAATAGGGTTTAGATTACTATTGATGGTCTCAATGCAAAATCCCTGTCTTCCAGCAACAACTCCAAGAAGACGACCATGCCTCTGCTGCCTGGGTTTTGAAATGACATTAACTGGGTGGGTGTCAGTGGTGCCCACATGGGCCAGGGCTGCCTGCTTGGGAATCAGGCTGGAACGAGCTTTGTTGAGATGTCCTGTGCACACAAACACATACACAAATGCAGTACAGAAGAAATAAAATAGTCGTCTTTGGCTAAACCTTCTGATTTATAGGAAATGGTTTGCAGACAAAAGCAGAATGAAAAAAATGTTGCCAACCTCTCAGATATATAATTTACTTTTAGAAAAACAAGACCAGTATGCAGAACATGATGCCTTTTAAGAAAGTTAATCTTCATCACTCATAACAATACTGAATTTTTGGTAACCACTGCATTACCAATCTTGCAGTATAAAATGGCATTGGTACAAGTTCATGTGTCCTTTATTAGTCTTTTTAATTCACTGCAGTCTCTAAGAAAAGCCTTCAGGTGTGCCCAATGCTGCCTTGCTGTAACCGGCTAATGCAGTCCTGCATGTAGGTGTGCCATGGATCTAGTATGGCTGCAAAAATTGGAGGTGACTGGATCGTTTAAACACAGCATGTTGCAATCTGGATTACTGTTTGAAGTATTCCCTTGCAGACCCATCATATGAAAGGAACAGGCCTCTCATGTGGTGAATTTCCACGCGATGAAACTTGACTTTAAACAAACATGTTTCTTCTGAGTGTCATCATTAAATCAGCGTTTTCTTTAGGAAAAAAAATATTCCATATATTAACTGTAAAATCTGCTTTGACTTCCAATACTCCCACTTTTTCTTAAAGTTTAGACCATGTGTGTCTTTATTCAAGCTGCTACCAACTTTATGTTCTCAGCAGTGCTTGTTAGCAAGTTGACTTTGGACACAATTTCTCGAGTTTTTCCAATTGCCTAGCCATGTGAATGATGTCTGTAGCTGTACCATGTACTGTATGGCACAGGCAGATGGAGCACAGGCAGTCTTACCACAGATCCTGAATGGGACTGGCATTCATGGCACCATGCAGATTACCTTGATGAATCAAACAGTTAATGCTTGCCACTCTTCCAATCAACCTTACTGCAGTACTAGGTGAGAGCAGTGAAAATACATATTCACGAAGCTCTTTCAAGACATGTTTTACTGTACAGTCAGATACCAAATGCTGACGTTTCTTAACAGCACAACCAGAGCCCTTTTTTTCAAGTTTAATATGTAGGACGCCTTCCTTACAAGCAGACCTCTGATTTTCTACGTTGGACCACTGTAGGGTACTACGTAGTGACAGCAACATGCCTGTGGCTTTCCCTTCTTGTTAAACGTAAAAAAGGTTACGTCCCAGAGAACAGCAAATCCCGGGATGTCAGACTAACACTGGCCGCTGACAGCTTCTGCTGCATTGAAGGAAATCTGCGTGGGGCTCATCTGCTGCAGCTGAGGCATCCTCGCTTCCAGCGGCTTGTCGTTTGCTGACTGCATCGTCTGGTTCCTCTTCCGCAGCATCTGTCCGATCCCCATCATGGGGAATCTGCCTCTGCTTTTAACACAGTTAGGGCTGCCCAAGGGGTTGTTGGAAACCAGCTGAGTAGGGGACACTGCTTCCTCCTTTGCCGGATAAGCTTTTTCTTCATATGTGAAAGAAACCTGGGTGGGGTGGATGGGGGATGTACTCCCCGGCTGAAAAAGTGGAGACAGTGTCCTTTCACTTGAGCTTTTGTAAGGGAAATTCATTGGCGAGCCTAAAATCCTGTACTGATGAGAGGGGGAAACCTGGTCTATTTGGTCCTCTCTGTCAACCGACTCGAAGGAGTGCACAATATTCAGGATGAGAGGAGAGTCCTTTGCCCGGCCCCCGATCCGGGCCGGCTCCTGCTGCGGAGACTCCTGCCTCTTGAGGAGCCGAGGGGTTCTGGGGGGTGGCTGCTGGACTTCGAGGTACTCGAGGGAGCTGGAAGTGACGCAGCCTGTCTTGTTTGCCAGGGGTTCGTGGAAAGGGCTTACCCCACCGCTGGAGTCTGCAAAGCAATCAGAAAAGGAACCAGAAGAGCAGACTGCATTTAATAGCACTGCCTTACGGCAGACAGCATTCGACATCACCTTTAACAAATTTCAGAAGAGCGTGACAAAAGCACTAGCTAAACAAATGGTCTTAGGGATATACTCAGTACCTAGTTCCCTGACTCTCATTTGATACTTACGCTGTTGATTCATGGGCAATTTATCTGCCACTTTCCTCAAAGGCAGGAAGAGTGCTTAAACTGAGTAAGACAAGGACATGAAATAGAAAACCACAGATGTCTTCAGCTGTTTGTATTAATTATATCCTCTAAGGCCACGTCTGAGAAATCTCACATTTCTCCTTTCTTAGCACAACTTTGCATGGTTTTAACTGAGTCTGCATACTGTATTCAGTGACATACCTAGAGACATGGGACAACAGTGAGTTAATCCCTCATGTCTTTCCTTGCATTTTGGAACAAAAATCTGTTCTTGGTTTCACACATGTAAATATGGAGTAGTTGCACTGGCCAGATTCAGGGTTGTTACAGTTGGAACAGATTTGCTGCAACAACTTCAGCAAGAATCTTCCTCCAGCAAGGACCAAATATACATGGAACAATCTTTGCAGGATCTGGCCCAGTAAAACAAAACAGCTCATGGAGATCTACTCAGTTTCTACAGGATGCTGGCACTCACTCATGCCAAGCTAGTTGCAAGAAAACACGTTTTCTGCTGCCGTTATGGAAAGCTGACCAAGGAGCCTGCTTTGCCAGGTTCCCCCTAATCAAAAGAACGGCGGACCAGCAGCTAATCATTGTCCACAAGCTCCTTTGGTCTCCAACCATCTAAAAGGGATATAAAATCATTTAGGACTGCCAGCCCTCCAGTCACAGCCACAAATCTCACTTGTATTTCTTTGGAAAAGGATGGTCTTGGCAGGGGTTGAGGCCTGAATGGATGCATGGGATGAAATCACTCACACTGGGAGTTGTCTGGGAAAAGCAGACCGGGTTTAACCTGACCAGTTTCTTTCTAAAATTGTTAAAAATTGTTTGACTACTTCATTTAAGAAGTGTCAAAACATGGTTTCCGTAAGCAGAGAAATACTTTAGCTGAGATTTGAATAATTTTCAGGCTTCAGTTCAAAAAAGCAGGGAGAAACCTAAAGAGGAAAATAATTAACTTTCCCCTGTGCCTCCCTCCCAAAAGGAACAACAAATTTGAACAAAATGAGCATTTTTAAATGTCTTTTACATTTTCCACAGAAAGTGTGTCCCATTTCTGGCCAGTGCTCTGGACTACTGCTACCTTGCAGCAGAGGTGTCTGCACTGCCAGATGAACACCATTTCAACCTTTTTTTTAAGGTAGAAAGCATCAAATGATAAATTATCAAGTCACAAGAATGAGCATGAAACCACCATAAGCCACCACTCTAAATAACCCCTTGACACCACAGTAAACATTTTACATTGCTGTATGTCCTCCCATTGCTCTGTCGTGACCTCCTCTCATTTAGTTCCCTCATTTAAAAGCCAGTTACATCACCTTCCTGGCTCCTGAATGTCTCCAGCCCACGTGTGCACTACTGACACTCCATTTTCCCTGCTGACTCCCCTTGTCCTCCACTCATTTCTTCTGTCTCCTCTTGCAAGCAGTTCTCACCCATCCCTCCCAGGCTCCCTCCTACCCTGTGTGATTACAGCTCTGCTCTCCTCTGGCTGTTTCAACTTTTCCTTTCCCTGTTAATGCTTTCCCCCCTCCTTTTGATGCTTGAAATTTGCTGGGGTTGGCAGTCCCACCCACATTTCCTCTTGGCTGCCTGTTTCACCTTCCTCCACCATCAGCCGCTGCCCACTGCTTCTCCCAGGGATGCCACTGTTACTGGCACTCTCTGCAGGGTCAGAGATTTCTTCCCATGCCGCCCCTTAGTTCTTTCTTAGCAAAACGCGATCGCTAGTAGGAAGAAGCTTGTCTACCAGCTTTGGTTTGTCAGTGATCTGGGGTGGGTGGTGAGGCTTTCAAAGCACCAGTGTGAAGTGCAGATGATTTGTTGTAAGTATGTATAAATAGAGAAAGCAAGCTTTTTTTAAAACACTGTGGGAATATTTTCAAATAAAAAGAGAAGTAAAAGTGAGGACTCATGACTGCTGAACATCGTCATGGTTTCCTCAGGATGTTTCGTTCAATGTTTGACTACGTTATCCAGTCTGCTTTCACATAACACCTCCAGAGCAGGCAGCGAATGCAAGCTCACGACTATTTACTAACAAACACAACACACAAGATGCTCTCATTAATACCACGCATGCCCACACATGCACATGCGCACAGGGACACACCACTGGTATTTTGCCCACTAACCTTTCTCCGGACCTCCAGCCTTGGTGACTTTCCGGTCCTTCAGCAGAGCCTTGGTGTTCTGTATCTGTGAGATAAGACAGGAAGAAGGCTGTCTATATGAAACTGGACTTTTCTCAGTTTTCTTTGGGAGCTGACGGTGAAGGATCTCCCCTTTCTTTTCTTGTTCTTTGAGTTTTTTGTCCTTTAAGTTGTAAAACAAACAAGAACAATTTGGTTTACTTAAGGGAAGTTTAAATGAGCCAAGACTTACAAGCACACCGCTTACCAAAGCCAAATTAAAAACTATACATTTACAAGGAACTTATCCTGGCTACTTAAAATCTAAATCTTCTGTATCTCATCTTCCTCCGATCTGTTTGACATGATTTCATGGCTCCCACCTGCTCTGACGTTCATGCAGTGTGAAAGTTGAGTTTGGAAAATTGAAGAAAAAGGAAAGCCATTTGTCCTAGGAGACCTGGTTGGAGCAAGTATATACAGGTTTGTGCTCTTCAATATCTGAAAACTGCCTCCCAACTTAAGCACTGATAAAAGGTTTTTGATTTCTCTATATTGTACTTCCTCTGGCATTTGAAAAGGTGAGCTGCAAAGCTTTAAAGAAGTTTAAACTCTTTGAGTCATTTATCTTCTGGCCAAGCAAGATCCAGAGGAATATGGCCCTTGCTTTAACAGCATCTCCGCAACTGCACAAGACATAGAAGAGGAGAAAATTACCAATTCAACCTTTCACTGAGCCCTAACTCCTTTTTGTGATGGGGAAGGCAGCTGAAGGTGGAATTGCAAGCACATATATCCTAAAAGATAAGATTGATCTCCAGAGATGACAGAGGAAAAACAGAACCTGGGAATGGGACTCTGAAGCATTTACAGTGAAAATTCATTGTATCTTCTTTTAACAATAATCACTAGATTCTGCAAGCTGCCTAACAATCTTTACTTGTCAGGGAACCAGTAGTGTTATTTCGTGTCAAAAAATCAGGCATCAAATTTGTGCCTTTGTTTTGCTACCCCTCAAAGACTTTGAGGATCTCCTACCTTTCTGGAACAAAGCTGTGTGGTCTGGTTTGAGATGCCAATCTCAAAGAACTAGGGCTTTTGTTTTGGTTTATTTGGGGTTGCTTCTGTGGGTGTAATTTTCATTTAAGCAACAAGTTTTGCTGTGTCTTATTAAAAAGTCACTGTAAGTACAAATCTTTTTTTAAAATGCAGGAAAGTTCCTTCACTCAATTATGTGCTGAGGCCTGTAGTTTGATAATTATGCACTGCCAAAGGGCTGGCTCTCTTGATGATTTTCTTTTGAAAGTTCATTGACATGAAGCCTATGAAAATCTTCAAATGCAAAGTAATGTGCATACGTGTGAGAGAGGGAAAGAAAGACGCAGAAGACAGATTGGGTTCTCTTGGGACACTAAACAGCTGTGGAAACTTATCAAGACACCTAAGAGGAAAATAACTGGACTGCACTCCTTACAATCATTCCCAGCTCAGACAGAGTCCAGCTCCCTGCACAGATGTTGTCTGGGCACTGCTGGGCTCATTAACCTTTGAATTTTCAGAAGTTACAGAGTTGGAAGGAAGAGCTTAATGAATCATGAGCTAGAGTTTTCAGATTTATTACGAAGTGGTTAGGTGACCTGGGAGAGTGAGAACCAGAGACCATGTATGAGCTTCTCACTGTCTTCACCTCAGTCTCCCTTCGCACATGCATTTTTTGTCCCCCCGTTTTTTCTCAACCTGTCTGTCATCTTCTTCAATTTCCTTCCCTTTAGCTAGGTAAAGCTAGCTAACCCTTCCACAGAAACAAACCAATGCATTATGGAACTGCCACCACTTTGCTTGTGTGATATCTCTTCCTCTCAGCACGGAGCATTTATTCTTTCCTGCTCATGCAGTGCATGGAACAATGCAACATCCAATTGGTCCCAGGCACTGTCTTGGTGAGCATGGTCATTGCGGTGAAGTAATAACAAAACAACAGCAATAACAATAATAACACTGTGTGAAAAGCACCCTGTGACAATAGTCAGTGGGTGCTACACAGTTAATTTTGAGCCCACCACACTATTTTTCTTCTTAAGGCTCTGCCAAGTTCAGCAGAGACCAGGGTCTACTGAGTATCTTTTTTTAAAGGTACTTGTGAGGATGAAACCAAGTGGTGACTATATTAAGCCTAAAGGAGCCGATCAAGACTGTCAGTGGCTTTCTGCTATTTTGAATAGGTGAGGAAAGAATTTGCATGTCAGCTGCGGCAGCATCTGTCAGAATGCAGGACATTTCAGTGCTGCAATATTTTGAGCCTAATGGTGCAAGAGCCAAGCCACAGCTCCTCACCTGCCAAGTGCTCCTGACTTGCCTTCACACTGCTGTTACGTGTTCTAAGTCATACTGTACAATTAATGCACCCACAAAAAAGAAAAGTCACATATCCGGTGTTAGCAATTAATTAGTTTACGCTGGATGAACATTGCAAATAATCTTATAATTAAAAATTTCTAACATTGTTTCTCTTAGACGATGGTTGTGAGAGGGGAAATGACCAAAATCCTAGACTCCCCAGGTGCCACACAGCATTATATTTTAAAAGAAAAGGAAGATTTCCTTCAAGGGCGTTATAAAACTTTGCTTTTCACTGTACCGTGCACAGCCATGTAATGGCATGCTGTTGCACAATGCAGGAGTTGTACCGGTATGTTATACTTGAATAGGTTTGGCATTACATCACCCTCTGCTATTTCCTGTCCTCACCTTGACCCTAAAACCTACTCTTAGTCCCAGCAAGGGATTTGAAAGGAAGATAAAGTGTATTTGCCTTGGCCATGTCTGAAATGGTGATAGGACAACGACACAAGTTCTTAAAAACTGCAAATTCCCCAAGTCTGAGCACAAGGGCTACTCTATGGGAGGCAGGTTATCCCAGCGCCGGTCCCCTGAATTCACTGGAGGAAGGGCCGCTCATCACCTGAGGCCTCTCCAAAAAAAGGCGAGAGATGGAGAGACAGAGACAGACTGAGGCCTGCCTCCCTCGTCCCTGCACTGCCCATCCACCCCAGCACTAAAATGAAATCACCCTGCAAAACAGCCTGGTAACTTAGCACCCACAGCAGCTCCCAGCTCTCTGAGCTCTGGCATGCTGATCCCATCACCCCAGGTTAGGAAATCTAATGGAGAAGAGGGGCTGGGCATGAGCACTGCCTGCGTGCCCTGCTGCCTGCCCCAGGAACAGGCGGTGTTGGCAGGCAGCCTCCTTGCCTGAGGAAAAGTCCTTATTTCACATTGATGGAGCGAGATGGAAGAAATTCAGTCGGCTGCTGAAGCTGACGCCGACCAGATCTCCTCTCCCTGCTATTCCCATGGTAACGCATAGCTATGATCTCCCTGCAGACTCTGCCTGGGGACCAGTGCCTCCCAGTTCCCCTCTGGAAACAGGTGGGTGACGAGAGGACTCTTATCTGCAGCTCATGAACCTGTCTTGAGCTTATAAAATCTCTACCCCTAAGTCCCAGTAGCACCCACTGATCCCAGTGGCATGAACAAGACACTGCCTGGGCTGTGTACCCATCCACATGAAGGTATTTTAGGAGAGACATCTACTATAGTTACCAATGGCAGTAGCATCCCAGGGTTGGTATTCAACCCTGTGTGCTGCTGTAACTGTCTTGATATAGTAAGGGTAACACAACCCCCTTGTGTAAATACAGCTAAAGCAATACAAAACATGCTTTATACTCAGCTATACCCATGCAGAAGAATATACTGTATTATTTTTGCGGTGTCTGCGCTGTGATTGCATCAAGGTAACTATTTCAAGAAAGAAATGACACCGCCTCACCCTCTAAATAGCTCCACTGGGACTGACTCCAAGAGCAGGAGAATCTTTGGAGGGAGCCTTTAACCTCAAGCATGCCCACAAACCAAACTGGGGTCATACAGCGGCTCTGCCATTTTTCAATTATCCTTACGGAAGTCAAGCACCAGTTCCCCTCTAAGGGGGTTGGTGATTTCAGGACCATCACCACAACAGACCATGCATTCCTCTTGCATCTGTGCATGGGTGCCCAGGTAGGTCTTGCTGCATATCCCCCTGCACAGGGTAGGTACGCAGAAGCTGTGAGCTCGTGCCTGGATGGCCAGCAGAGCACTGAGAAGTGACACTAGCAGTTGGAAGAAACCAGCCCGGAGAGCATCGGGATGCACTAAGCGACATCTGCAGTGTTCCCCTCCAGGCACCTGCCTGCGTTTCCAGGGGAAGGTTATCCTGCAGCAGCTTGAAGTAAGCTGTCAAAAAGCATTTTGAAATGTTATATTCATTGAGTCTACCCACTGCTGATACATTTTAAGTAAGGTGGTTTTTGATTTGTGTAAGAAAAGAATGATAAGTACTTTGCCCTGATATTTCCATCTGGCTTGCAGTTCAGCTTGTCTTGCAGGCAGTCTTTAAAATAAACAAAACCAGCCACAATACAAATCTGCACCTGCAATTAGATCATCAATCTGGCGCTGAAGAGTAGCTTTTGAAATAGGTAGACTCTTCAAGAATACTGCTCTTTTGCATTGGTAGGTAAGACTTGCACAGCTCATATTACTCTTGTAATTCTAGTGCTTGGCAAAGAATCAGCCAGGGCAGAAAAATCCAGCCATGAGAACACTCCTGTTATCTCATATGTATTCTTTTAATACAAACTACCTTCTCTATTTGCAGGCAAAAAGACTAGAGACCGACAGAGCAAAAGGTAACCCAGTTAAATCTTTCCTCTGACCAAGGGAAGTCCCTCACGATGCGGTGAGCTAGTTATGCGTCACCTCTGCTAATAAGGAAAAAATACTAACCTGGGCAGAGTTTTGTGCTAATACAGTTTAATCGTTTCTGGTAGTCAAGTCAGGGTTAGTCCAGGACACCAGGAATGCCAGGTGACCAGGGAGGGTCACCCTGGCTGTCACTCAGATCTCTGCACTACACCACCAAGGTCTTGAGGCTCAAGGCAACAGAGTTATGGTCTTCTTACAGCACCAGCAATGTGCACCTCAGAATGAAACTATGGATCCCCCCCTGAATTTAGCATTATTTTGCTGAAGAGAGCGTTTAAAATTTTTATTTTCTTCGTAAAAGCTGAAAGTCACCTTTACACTTCCACTCTAGGAGGTTGCTATTTGTTCCTTCTGAAAGAAATCGAGGGAATTATTTGTCTTGCAGAGGCAAGACCACAGGTTTTTTTCTCCACAGGTCCAGAAACCCATCACCTTAATCCCAATTGCCAGAGATCCCGCAATTTAGTCTGCTTTCAAAATACCTTAACGAGCCTTAATGAGCTTTACCTCATAGGAGTCTTTATTTGCCTTGTATTTTTCTATCTGGTATAGCTGGTTCTTGTGGCAAACATTGTCCTGGCCTTCGGACTTCTGTGGAGAGAGAAACACAGAAAAGTCAAGTATATAAGGTAATTAGAGAAAACTAATGTTCAATTACTGCTTAATGGCCTGTATCCACTCTTGGCATTCAGTGGAGGTGCATCAACTTACGGAGATGGTGAGTTTGGTCCACTGCATTTTAAATGTCATTGATGGTATCATCATTGAAATAAACTTGTAAAACAACTGAGAAAACCTAAGAAACTGTTGTCAGATCAGAAGACTCTTGGCGATAATTTCTCTAAGAGGGAAAGACATTAAGAAGAAATCCTGCCCATGCAGTCAACATAAGAGTCTACAGACCCTCAACTAGTTAAGACTCTACACTAGACCCACAGGCAACTATGTGGAGAGGCCAAGGCAGGAGAGCATGCAGCCTGTCTTTGGGCACTGTGTCCATCTTAGCACTTCCAGCAAGTACCTCACAAAACGTAGCCTGAGAGCACAGCTCTCCCAGATGTTCAAGGAGGAGTGACATGTGGCAGCAGACTCCTGCCCTAGAGAAAGTTGCTGTGCAAACCCATCAGCAGGTTTTCTGACCCCCAAACCATACTCAGGGGCCAGGAAGTTCAGGAGGAGATTAGAAGAATTTATATTCATGTTATTTCTCATGCAAAACTTTCAGCTAAGTCTTCACCTAAAAACCAAATAAAATCTTAATAGCTCTTAAGCTTCCTCTTGATTTCCTGAATCAAATTACATTGTGTTACTGATATTTCAAGTGGCAGAATTATCTCAACATATGGACACAGTACATCACAAGTGTAGCTCTGCATGGCAACAGTTTGCTCTCTATAGGGTAACTGCCTAGCTGGAAGGGATCTCCTATGGAAACAGGGACCCGTGAGCCTATCAGCCTATCAGCCTACCTCTGCTACCTGGGGAATTCTTATCTGAAATAACGTTAGCAGTTTTCGAGGAAAACATCCCCTTCAGGGTTACTACTACAAAAATCCGGGTAAAGCCTTGACATCAAATGCCAACAAGCAGGGAACCTTTTAGCACTTTTTTACCCTCCTTACCTGCTTGTCCAAAGAATCAGCATCAAGCAGTACTTACCCTAAGGCTGGCCAAGTAGCGCTCCAGCTTCTTATTAAGTAGGAAGTAGATGGCAAGTGTGTGACTCGCCCTGTTTGAGAGCACAGTGTTGATGACATCGCTGTTCTTGTAGCCGAGCTTCTCAGTCATATGGAGCAGCACGCTCTGGCTAAGGTCCTCAAGGTGAATCCTGCACAGAGAGAGAAGCAGAGCAGGCCGTTCGTACCATCCTGAGCCCTGTCAGGACATGGGGGACATGGCAGAGTATAAAGAAGAGGCCTGAAAGGCTCAGTAACATGGGATTGATTAGCTCTCTTCTCCCATGAGCAGGTACAAAAAGGGCAGATTATTCAGGAACCAGGGGCACCATGGGAAGCCATGACAGCTGAACCAACAGCACTGTCCCCGCCATGTCCCACCCTGATGCGAAATTGCACCGTGATGCTCAGGACACCACTGTTTGTTACCCTACATCTGACCAGTGATGACTATCAAGATCATGTGGTTGGTTTTGAAGGAAAAGAGGTAAAATCTAACTTAGTCAGCCAAGGTCTGAAATTACCCTTTCTTTGTAATCAAACAGCACAGGGTTCAGCTTAGCCCCTCACCTGATGCACAACAGCTAGGGAATTTGAGGGGATGTACAGGGAGGGTTATTACAGCAGCTCTCAAATGTTAAAATCTGCTGCCACGCTTACATCAGCCAAAAGCAGAAGCACAACACAGGTGTATGTATGTGCTTTCTTGTAAAGTCTGTAACAGACTTAGCCAAGGTACAATTAAGTACAGCAGCCTTGCGGAAATGGCAAAGCATATGCCCAGAATAAGTTAAAACCAGATTTTCCAAAGCACTCTGCTTCTATTTAGACCTCTAAATGCGCTGGCCAGCTTCCCAGATGTGCCCGTCAACTCCCATCCATCTCCAAAGAAAGGCTGGGTTTTGTCTGGTTTCTAGAGGATATTGCTTGCTCCTAATATCAAGCCTAATATCTGGCTAAGGCAAAGTAGTGGAGCTTAGGTTGTGGGCTTTTTTACAACCTGCCTTCAAAAGGCCCATTCTCCACTTTTCCCAACCCTGCCCTGCTGTCCCCCTGTCCTGTGCACCTGTGATGTGAAATGCCTGGAGAACACCCGGAGTCGACTTAGACAAGGAGCAAAACACAGTCTGGAAAATCTCAAATAACTCTTTTCCTTTATTCAGCATACCTATTAATGTTGGTTCTGCAGCTAAGGAATGCTTGGGGTCAAGGTTTTTTAAGTTCAAAAGCAAAACTTATCTTGGCCATTGCATGTTAAAGCATCTGGACAGCAAAAGAAATTCAAGCAATTTCTACTTGAAGTGCTTAGCAAAATGGGAAATTTTTGCTTGCATTCAGAGAATTTCTTTAATAAAAGCAAGGTTAGAAAAAGCCTGGGAGAATATTCTCCTGAAAAAGCAGTTTCTGCCTTTCTTCCACCTTATCTTCACGCTCTCCCCTTTCCTACCAAGTTCTTATCTGGGAACAAAGAACCAAAATGGTGGAAGAGCACTGCAAGAACATAACACAGCTTCTCGCTTGTGCTCTAAAAAGCATGATTAAGAGAGGAAGTGATTCCTTGCAAATTAAGTAGTGAATTTTTCAGAACTATTTTGACACATCTGACCCACATCTGCACACTAACAAAAACATGGAGAAACTCTGTCAAAGCTGACTCTAGTGGCACTTTCTTAAGCAAGCTCAAAAGAAGTCTAGCCATGCCTTTAAGTATTTCAGACTTCATAGAGTATTTTCTCTACAAGGCTCCAGGATGACAAGTTTTGGGTAGGTCAAACTTGGGGTATCAACTAATTAAACTAAAGATATATTATCCAAAAAATGAAGTGACAGAAAAAATCTGTATGGCTTTTAACCTTTACAGCTTCACATAAAACCTGAGTTTGGATAGGAGGATGTACTTTCCTCTTGTTTTCAGACCAAATGATGAGAAAAGTAGTGCAATGAGAAAGAAAGAAAAAGAAAGTAACAGATTTTTTTCAATAGCAAAGCATGGCATTCCACATCGATGTTCCCTTTAAAAGTGCTTAAAATAGGAAAGGATTATTATCATTACCATATACACATGAGCAAACATATGCCCTCTCTATAGTTCAGCACTGTGTTTTCTTCTGTTCTTCCATTTGATTTGCTCGCCTTTAGGAGGGAATGATTAAGGGGCACTCCTTAAATAAAGAGCATTGCACAGCTATTCTAATAGAGGCTGGCCTCTTCTGTAAGTCACCTACCTAACCACTCCAACTCTAGAAGGGACACTTCCACCACAACCTGATTAAAGCCTGATAACTGCAATCTAAGACATCAAAAATGGAGGCATAAAATGCACCTACAAGTGCAAAAGAATTGTGAAAGCACATTCAAGCTGTATTTCTTTCTTTTTTCCTCTTTGCAAATAAGACACACACAGCAAAATAATTAAATTACCCATCCAGCTCTCACTTACACTTACATTCACTTAACAAATGACATGTTTAGTAGATTGATTAGACTCATGACAGTGATTTCATTAGCTTAATGACTCATTCACTTGTTTTCCTGTTCTTTACCATACAATGGTCATAGATACCATACTTCAGTACAGTCCAATGCACCATGGAAACTCAAATTTCCTTTTATTGGGCAGCATCTATGCAAATTAACTCAACTGCCCTTGAATTTGGGACAGTAACGTCAAGATAATGTGTCTGCCTTTTCTCATTCCTATTCTTTGTGAAACAATCGTTTGTAGGGGCCATCTTTATATTCTGTCAATGTAGGTCTGAGGATTACAGGCAGCTGGCCTCACATTTGCCCTCACCATTGCACTGGACGGGTCTAGTGATGCCTCCGGGCATCCAAGCTGCTCAAAATCTATCCAACCATATTTTGAGCATGGAAGACCTGTTATTCTCCTCAGGTCAAAGAACAGCATAGTCACAGTGATTCTGGAAGGGAAATGCTTGCTGCTAAATTAGGGCACCTCTGTTGCCTGTCAATGCAGAGAGAAAAGGGAGGTGACTCAGGTAGGAGCCAGGACTGTGTGAATCCTGGCCATATGCCAGCCACCAGCAACGTTAAAGGAAATGGTCTCCAAAAATTCCTAAAGGCCATCCTGAGATTTGGGGCTCAAACCAATTTCCTGCACCCCAATTCAGCAGGCTTGAGCAGTGGCAGCACTCGTCATCTGCCTCTCACTCCCACAGGGGTTGGACCCATGGCTCTGAAACATACCTGGCTCATCTGGCTAGTGGTGGAGCAGAGGGGAAAACAAGTGTGAGGCACTCTTACCAGCAAAGCTGTGACCTGGGCTGAATGCTGGCTGCATGCATGGCTTGAACATGCCTATGGGACTGAGTCCGTCAGGGTACCAGCAGAAAGAGATGGCCTGGTTGGTGAACACCAAATCATTTTTGGGTGGAGCGCAGTGGTTCAGACATTTAGAAAAAGGTAGGCCGTCACAGCCCTAGGCATACACTACATCTGGTATCTAGCAACTGAGTAAACTATAGGGGGGGAAGTTAGGACTCTAAGGGCCTCCTCTCCTAGCGAGTTAGCACAGAAATTTTGAGGCACTATAAGATTAGGCTTTGAGTTGCTATCTTTGCCTTGATGTTACTTCTTGGCCTGCAAGCTAGTAACTCCTGCAGTGTATCCTCTGCAGGTACTAGAGACACAGCTGGAGGGCTTTGATACAGGAAGGAAGATTTATCTAATCAAATATAGATATATATTTCTAAGTGAGTTGCCTAAGGCTCTATTTACAGTCACTGGAGAGGAACTTGGATCTCCTGGGTATCTATCTAGTCATCCTATTGCAGAATCAAAAAGAAGTCAGATTAATCATTCTGTAAAAAATCCCCTTACTTCTCTCCAGCAACTCTAAGGAGGGCCCAGGCTAATTGACTTGTGTGTAGACTCTCCATTGCAGATGTTTCAAGGCTAGTAAGATTAATTCTAAACAAAATGGAGCTCAATATCTATTTTTTTTCTCTAGATGGATGTTTGACTAGCCATGAGGCTTATTATTTGCATTTAGTCATGCATTCAGCATTGCACAGGTATTTAAGATCAACAACCAGCAAAGCATGATCATTTAGTGCTGACCTTTCTCTCCATGGCATATTTACCTAATCCACAGAAACCCATGTATGTATCACAAATAAATAGGTATAGCTTTTACTGTAAAAGTAGCTTGGCTTTACTGACAAACAAGAAAAAGATCTGAACTGGTGAACTATCTGTTACTCATATCCACTGCAAGGTCTGGAGCCAAGTAATCATATTATCTGCTCCCCAGACCACCCTGCAAATAAAGCATCATATGCCAGCTTCTACTTCATTCTGTTTCTGACCATTTCAAGCAACAGATATTCAACAGCTGATCCTAATAACTCTTAGGACAAACTCACAAAAAGCACGCCCAGAAAATGCAGTGGGATGTTGTCACACAAGAAATGAAAGTGCATGGCCAGAGTAATTTATGTTTTAATGTATATGAACCCTGGCAGGTTTTCTCCACTCTTTCACACAGTACCTGTTTGGATATGTGACATAAGGTGGTGCTCTCCCAGGGTAATTCTCATTAAGCCATCGATTTGCAAGTGCCTGCTGGATGTTTGGTCTCTTTGCAGGATCTGGCTCTAGTAGAGATCGTAGAAAGTTTATGGCCGCTGTGAAGAAATCAAGAAAAACAACAGCTCTGTCATAAGCTTTATGACTTAACATGGTAGTTGAGTTACTACAAGTGTGTAGTCTGACCAAGAGTACACTAAAAAGGAAAGTCTTCCTTATGGTATGCTTTAGTGTCCTTGAGAAAAAGGAAAACCTGATAGCAGATTAGTAAGTAAAATAAACAATGATTTATAGTCACAATGATTTATAGAGTCATAAAGGAGAGGAGAAAAAGCACCTTTAGTTTCAGACCTTGCTTGCAGTGTCTGGGCAGGTTAGCCAAAACTTAATTTTTGTATGAGGATAAGAGGCTGGAGTCAGGTCTGAGACAAATCACTCAACCTGTGTTTAAAGTAGAAGGAGACCAACTGGGAGTGAGTGGAGGGGAGGGATGCAGAGTTGGAGGGAAGACATGGAGCACTGGGTCCCCATTGATATTATAAGGACAGATTCCTTCCTGGCTTCCATCCAACCTAGAATCAGTTGCAGGAGGTTTCAGCCAAATTAAAAGACTACAGTAAAACTAATGGGCTTCGTTCTATTTTCAGATACTGAACCTTCAACTTTCAGTGACATTCAACCATACCTCAGGAGTTGCTTGCAAAAACCCGCAAAAGTTTTTTCTGATATTTTAAAGTCATTTGCTTCTTATATGGTTAGGAACAATGAAATAAAAGTTATTTGCTTAAAGACTCACAAGAAGCGCCTATCTGAGCTGAAAATAAACTGTTTTAACTAAGTCTGGTCTTTATTCCTCAAATTATCAAGGCAAGATTCAGTTTATTTGCTACAAGATAGTAAAGAGTTAACTATGCCCTCTGCAAGTCCCTGTATGAAAGGTAAGAAACATAATGCTGGGAAAACCAAGATCAGAGTAATTTTGTAGAGGAGATACAGTCAAATGAGATGATGTCAAATGAGTCCTGAATGAAGCCAATGGCAAGCGAGAGGCAGAAGTGATGGCTGTGGCACAGTTTTCTCCAGGTCAGATGGACAGGACCTTGGGGGATTTTTTCCACTTCCTCCTGCAGCATTGCTGCGGTTCCCCTCATACGCTCTCCTGAGTGTGTCGTGTCTACTTGTCTCCTTACTAGCACAGGCACCCTGGTGGGCCGCACAGGACCAGTGGTAGCACAGGACCACTGTGGCACGGGCTAGTGTCCTCTGGGATGTGTCTTCTGGGTAAGCTGCAGCACAGCCTTGCCAATACAGCTTCGTCAGCTAAGCACAGGCAAATCGAACCCCTTAAAGGCTTGTGGATGTGCTAACACTGCAATTACAGAAAACTAAGAAATTATGAGCCAGTTCTGTTTACAGGCATTTGGTCTCATCACTACACCATGCTCACTTGGCACCATGCTGTCCCCTATTCTGAAGCAAAGTGCCTGCAATGCCTCTTCTCCACCAGCAATACAGCAAAACTCTCTTGAATCCCTATTCCCACGTACAATTTAAGGAGAATATTATGCCTGCCAGTGAGGCCACAATGTCCTCACCTGAAAAGGGCATAAACATTAACCTAGGCACAGTGCTGCTGCCCTTCACAGGTTCTCCTCTACAAGACTGCTGTCCTCCTTCACGTTTGCTTGGTTGTCCCCTTGAGTGTTTTTATCTACCCAAGCCCACCCACATCATCCCCCACCCACAGCACAGGACAGGACAGCTGGGCTGATGCACCA